ATTTTGGTCTTCGGGGTCAGGCTTACAGTCTCATCTCATTCTCGTCTGGATGCTGAAATATGAAATATATGAAACACATCAGACGTAATAAGTATGATTTCGGCCGTCGTCGAACTAACTTATCGGGAAACCAAATAAAAATTCAACAAGATGACTGAGCTGCATTACGTGGTTGGCGGCCGCCTCTCAAGGCCACCTCTCAAGGCCACCACGGCCCGTGCCGCGCCCATTTTATATGGTCGACAGGGTGACAAGAGGGCAATCGTTTAGCAGCGGTGCGATCCCGGAGTGGGCGAAGGCACATCTGCCAAACAGAGCTCGGAGCAGTCCGGCATGAGTTCAAATAACCGCCATCATATTGCTTTGCGTGATTTTCGGCCAAGTTCTCCCTCCATCCCCACGTTCAATGGGCCGAATATCCAGAATCCTATCGGGCCTTCGAAATTGAACCTTGATTGGACCACGAGGGTTGAACTGAGGGAACAACGATCACGTGCTATATGGTTCACTTTTCATTATTATTCAACTACCAAAAATAATGAACTTTGCGCCCCATTTGTCAGGCTCCTACCCACCGCACGTTACGAGGTCAATCAATCCTAGTAGTACACAGAGTGAAATCCGAGAAAAGTACCCGGAGTCCGAAACGTCCGATAAATCCGACGACAGTTTAAGCGAAAAGTTGGGATTGACTCTCCACTTCGCTTAAACTGTGGTCGGATTTATCGGATTTTTCGGTCTTAAGTCTTCACTCTGCGTACTTCTACTAGGATTGATTGACCTCGTAACGTGCAGTAGGTAGGAGCCTGCCAATTTGTTACATTTTTTGGAACCCCATCGACGGTGGACGTGTCCGATCTTTGCCGCCGCATGTGTGTAAGTTCAACTTTGGGCTGCCGGCAAGCTGCGGGCTGACTGAGTGAGATTGCGTGTCGGCGGCCACTACCACGTGCCGGCAGCCTTTTTCCTCGCATTCATTATCAACTGTGCTTATAACCTCGCAGGTATTCTATTCGACCTCGCAGGTATTCACGCAGCAGGATGTCAAGCGTCTTAATTCAATGGTCTCCAGGGGTGAACGTGGGGATCCTGCGTACGTGGCAGTGCAATTATAGTCGGGACAACATATAAAAGAGGTTGTCCTCCACGAGACTCTGCATTCACCCTCAGGCCCTTCGAGTTTCATCGCGCCTTTGAATATGCTCACCGCCTTCCGCAATCGCAACATGCGCCTCCTTTGCAGTGTTCTTCTGGCCTGCTGGGTTAGCAACACCTACGCGTCCTACCGCGACTTTGGCATCCCCGCATCGAGCGCGACAGTCGACGTTCGCGTCTTCAACGTCGCGAATATGACCCTCGTCGACGCAACCAACCTATTTATCACTCCCGTGGTCCCTGGCCATGAATCCGTTACATTCCCCATGTATTCCTTCTTGGTAGAGCACCCACCATCGAACAAACGAGTCATGTTCGACCTTGGAATTCGGAAGGATCCCGAAAACACTCCACCCAGTATCTCTAGCTTGTTGGCCGAGTTCGTGCAGCTTGAGCCGTACAAAGACATTACGGTCTTGCTTCAAGACGGAGGAATAAACCTCACGACTATAGATCAGGTCATTTGGAGGTACGTCATCTCTTTTGGCGCGGGTCGCACCGTTGAACATGATCAATTCGCAGTCACGCCCACTTTGACCATGTCGTGCGTTGCTATTGCCTTGTGTTCAGGATGCATAATAATATAAAGCAGGGTGATATGTCGACATTCCCTAACACAACCGGTATTGTCATTGGGCCGGCAACGAATACCTCGATTTATCCAGCAGACTCGACCGCGTCTTTGCAAGCAAGTGATTTCGCGTGAGTTCACATCATCTAGCATTGTGAACCTGGCTGTTTTAACGTTTAGCCGTCCTCAGCGGCCACAATATAACCAAAGTGGACTTCGCCAGCTCTAAATTGACCTTTGCTGGCTTAACGGCTTTCGATTACTTCGGCGACGGAAGCTTCTACCTCCTGGATACTCCTGGGGTGAGTATTTTCTTCCGACCATCAGTATTTTCAGAGACGCGTGTTGATTCCCATGTTCAGCACCTGCCCGGCCATATTACTGCCCTCGCCCGCGTCACACCTAACTCCTTCCTCGTCCTCGGTGGAGACACTTACCACCACGCAGGCCAAGCCCGCCCACGGCCCGCGTTCCAAAATGCCTTCCCTTGTCCCGCTCACCTGTTGGAAGAGTCTAAATCGTCCATCTCCACAGACTATTTCTGGTCGCACGACTCTAGTCTCGAGTCCTTTGATCTGCTTTCCCGCTCGGCGCAGTTTCTCGCGCTTTCCGACCTTCCCGGCTCATTCTACGCCGACCCAGTTGCCGCACAAGTGTCGCTGGAGAAGGTCGCCGACTTTGATGCGGATGAGGACTTCTTTATCATGGCGGCCCACGACATCAGCATTCGGTCGTCCATCCCGTACTTCCCTGCTTACATCAACGGCTGGCAGGCGAGCGGGTTGAAACAGAGTGCGGTGTGGAACTTCATTGATCAAGGGAACGCTGCGTTTGTGTTCAGTCCGATGTGAGTGATTCTTTTGCTTGATATTTAGGACGGCCTATTGAATTACGGACAGCAACGCGACATCATGATTATTCTGGTGCTTTCCAAAATCATTTAGAAATATATCTTAACAATACGTTGTAACATTGCCTATCCGTTCGAGGTGGCCTTGCAATTTGAACCAAAAACACGTGATGTGTTCAACTTTCTACTGAGGCTGTCATAGCCCTCTCTGACTCCATAGCGACCTGGCCCGGACTCCCTGCCTTCCGCCATATCTGTTTACCGGCAAATAAGACACCCTGCTCCAAATGGCTGCCCTCCGGAACCTGGAGATCGTTACGTATGATATGGTCGACACTGAAAGACATCGGGCGTTGTTTCGCTGCGAAATCCCACGTGTGCTGTAAATGTCTCGGTGTCGGTTGTGCGCTCATGCAATGACCACGGTCGAATTAGAACTCTATTCAATGAAACTAAAGTATATATTTCTGCGGTCCGTTCGGGGTCAAGAAAGTGAACTTGTGAGGGAGACTCTGTTACGAGACAAGGACATTGACTGATGCGGAATACAATGGGATCTGCCAGAACTCGCAGGAACAAGGATTCCACTTATAAATGTGGTAGCTGTAGTAGCTCCTCACGAGCTTGTAACCAACAGCCTAACAGGAGCAATATCTCAGTTAATTCAAGACATATAGCAAGCATACTCTTTGGGGTGAGACTGGATCCAGGCGCGCGCAGTACCCGACAAGTACGACGGCGGACGCTCTCCATTCAAGAATGCGTCACGGATTGCCTCGGATGTCCGCGAACAGACATCACGAGAGCTTTTCCAAACCGGTGGTTCCTAGCTCCGGGAAACCAAAAAATCCTCGATAAGTTTCTTGTCCATCACGGGCTAATGTGCGCAACTGGGGCACTAAGCCGTCATTGGCAAGGGCGTTGATAAAGGCAGCGTCGCTACCGTGGGGAACCCGGTCCAATGTTAGGCGGGTAAGGGAGGGAGCATGGCGAAGGGCGGTGATGAGGTTGTCAGATGTGAGATTCTTCGCGTTCGAAATCTCGAGGTGGGCGATGTTTGGAGATCGCAGTTGGAAAGCCGTGAACTGAGGCTCGGACCAAATGCATTGGGTTGCATAGAGCGGGAAAGTTAGGATCAGCCTTTCCAATGCTGGAGCAGATATGCAGTCGAGGAATGGTAGGACGTGGGGGGTATTATCGATTAAAGTGAGAGTGAGCGAGCGGAGTTGAGTGTGGGAGGGAAGAACTGTGCTATGCGAGGGAGGTATCCACCATCCATTGAATTCGACAGATGCCTTAACAAGTAGGGGGCACCGCGCAAACGTGTCCAGGATAACCAATGGGTCGGCCGCGGACGAGACGGGCGCGGAGAGCGTAAGATCAGTGAGCTGGGCCCATGGTAAATCGAAGGGCGTATTTGTAGGCGCGCTCAGCTTTCGCAGCCGAGGTGTGCTGAAGAATGGTATGGTCGAGTCTACTTCAACGTCGTCCAGATTCATTTCCTCGAGGTTGTCAAAGCTGCTGCCGTCCAGGAATCGGCTGAGGAAGGAAGCCGATGATGTTCCAGGTTCCAGAAAACGCCATCGAGACGAAATCCTCAGTATCTCGTCCGTGATACGAGGGCTGACGTGAACCCAATCCTTCGGGTTTGTAGGGCCCTGCAGGTGGATGGAAAGGCTTAAGGGTGCGGAGCGCTCCAACCATGCTTTCAAGCCATCTGCGTACGTATCCGTCGCCTCGGGGTATAAGTTGACTCTGATAGGCATGGCCCAAAGCGCTGCGATCCCGGTCGCAATCCTTCTCCACTCCGAGCAGACATGCGATACTTGAAAAGCGTCCTTAACATGCGAATCAAGAGTCGAGTTCGCCATTGTAAGGAGGAAAATCTCGGTCAGGAATGCTTTGCTTTGAATTCTTGAGCACAGGAGGCTCATTCTAGCTGTTTCTTCGGTCAATCCGTGGGAATGGCGTGGGTCGTGCGACGCCGGTCTTGGCCTGGGCAATGAATATATTGAACGCGCAAACAGTGAGGGTAAACACCCACCTCTTCATCGGAAGAATGAGCTCTACAGCGTACCCAATGGACTCGCGCTGGGTGCCGCAGAGGATGGTCAGGTCGGCACGTGCTTCAAGTTGATGACACGAACCGCATCAAATGATCGCCGAACGCATCTCTTTTGCTGTCAAAGTTTGAGTAGGCCTAGGCCAAACGCAGCCACATTCAATATTCCAAACCTGATTCCTTGCAAAGCATCCAAACTAACTTGGCGGTGATGAACAATGGTTCAAAGTCAGGAGTTTGAATGGTTTTTGTAGTGACACCTGCCGTACGTGCCATGCCTATACATAGTAACATACATCGTCCTGCGCGCAACGTGCATGTCGGGCCATGGTCCTGAGCTCAAAGCTCAAAGCGCAAGTCATGCTCTCGTGGTCTAGTAGCATGATACGCGCTTTGGGTTTTGGTTTCATCACTTCATCTGCGCGGGGTCCCGGGTTCAACTCCCGGCGAGGGTCCTTTTACCGAAATTAGCTAGCATAGGACTGCTGGGGGGAACAAGAAAATATAATTACCTGCGTGGTCCCAGATGGTATGAAAACGTATTGGTCTTCTCATTATCCATGCTTTTGATCCCATCGACGTCGTTTTCAACGGAATCCCCGGGTACCTGCGAGTTTTTGTTGAAGTGCCGGAAGAAACTGTAGATCTATAATCATGTGTTACTCCAGCACGGTTGAAGGCTGATTAACCCCGAGACGATTAGGGCTTATTCGGGCAGAATATAATTGCAACGCACACGATTGATGCCCGACAATTAATATTCAGCTGTGATTAATAACAGCCCGGATCCGTATGACCTAAAGATATATGTGGCAAAGCCGGTTACCTGGTCTCAGCTGTGAAGGCTGTCTGTCAGTCTAGTACTTGGGAGACACGAAAAAGCACGAAAACATGTTCTCAAGGGATGCTGCACAAACGCAAATGCGCTCGGAGAGAGATGAGAGGCAAGTGGGGGGGCAGACAATTTCTGGTCCAGTGGACGAGACACGAGACAACGGTCTTGGAAGCTACTTCGAAGCAAGATAACGCAAACGGGTAGGCTTGGGAAATTTGAACCTAGACCACGTGCTGGGTTGAACTTTTCTGTTCAATCGACAGCCATTGTCAATCCAATAGATGCCAAGGTTTGATACGCGCTTGAAAGAGCCCGGTCTGAATGTAACGGCGCCTTTGTACATCAATCTAAGCCGCGGATTTAAATTCAGCTCAACTACTCACATTCAGCAAGTTCTGTCTTACTATTTCCAGAGCATCCCCGAGGTCAGCGAGTCTTCCCTCAGGTTTACGAGCATGAATTTGATCCATCGTGGCTTCGGCGCGTCACCGGGTTCATATTTGACACCTGAGAGATGGTGCGCCCGTCAAGATCTCGAAGGAATGGGTTGAGCCTGAAGTGCGGATATTCAAGTTTTGAATTGAACGATACCCCAGAACTGATGAGAATTACATTCTGTCCATGGCAATTGTAAGTAACGAAAATTAATCTATAATGATGTGTCCAAAATGCTACACAGTTCCTCCGCGTACAGCTTGCATAAGTAGTAGTGTCCATCGACGTCCAAGAGTCCAGGTAGTTAGAGGTGCGGAATATATGTGGTCCAGCTCACGTCCACCAAGGCACCGGGCGGAAGGGCGCGCAGAGTCGTGAAGGACAGGGTGATGAGGATGAGTCGTGCGGCGATGTAGGCCGGAATGGTAAAAACGGCGAGGATCAAAAATATTCCGCCCAGGAATGCTTCAACGAGACTTCGGATTTTGGTCCAACTATCGCCAAGTCGGCGTAACACCGTGCTACCGAGCACCAGCAAGCTAGACGGAAAACCGAGAGCAAAAGGCACTGAGGCGACCAGGAGAGAACTGCATCGCCACAGAAGCATTTCGTCTGCGGAAGGGAAGTCCATGTTCCCAGCTGAATAGTGAATGATGCCAAAGATGGTCCCGACGAAAAACTGGATGACAGCGGGTACCAAGAAGCGCAGACCGTTACGACTAAGTGTGGACCAGAAGGAAGGGACCGAATGGAATGATGCTGGGTCAAAATCGGGACAATCTCCCAGGACTGCGGAGAAAAACAGTCGGATGGGGCCGATGAGAGTTTCGGGACGCCTATGTCTTCGCTCTGCCCACACCACGTATTCATCGGCAGACTCGAGAAGAATAGGTTGTTGCACGTCAAGAGGTTTGTGCCACCAAAGTAGCCAAATGACAATGCTGACAACTTGAAACGCTAGTGTCGCAACTTCAAGTCCAGTGAGGGGAAGGTGCTGTTGAACACGCGCCAAACATTGGGTGATGAACCACACTCCCTGCAGAAGTGCCAAGCCTTTCGACACGGAGTCCCCTTTGCTCTTGTCCTCTATCTCATCCGGCGTAATGCTCCGTATAGCTGTGAGATATTCGGGGCGCAGACGAAGTTGCTTTGAAGTCACTATGGGATGGTGGCCGGCTTTCGACACAAATCCACCCATAGCAAAAAAGAAACCATGTGTCACGGAGACGCCATATTCTGCATTGAATGAGAATCTGGGTTGTGGAAACCTCGACACTTCGCGTACCCTTTGAGAACCACCGAGCGTCCAAGAACTGTCGGGCGGCAAAGCCCACCATCAATTCTGGGGCAATGAGCGCCACCAGCATGAGGCTAAACCGGTGCCAGAAGCGGGCTAGCATGCCCTGGTTGGGCGGAGGCACATTGGGGTGCGCTGAGACCCAGGTACACGCGAATACCGTGAATAGGCAGCTACTGACGATGCTGTAAAGCGATCGGGTATTGGGATCGAAGGCGCTAGGAACTGGCTCGTCGCGAGAGCCTAGAGGATGCCCAGACACTGCGCGTAAGTAGAACAGAGATAACATGAGGACCATGGGGGCACTGGCTACGGTCCTCTCGCCGCCGATGGCGTCTTTATCATATAGCGCTCTTGGACGACCCCGTTGCTGTTGAGATTTCAACAGCTCTGCACTGGTATGAACGAAAACTTCCTCTCACGACACAAGGAGGCATAGCGGCATCGCAGAAGGCCCGGAGCGACGAGAAGCGAATCGGGATGGCCACAGATGCTACCGTTTCTGCGTAGTTGACTAGAGTTGACTATCACTTGCTTGACACAAAATGTCCAATTAAGTACGCGCTGTTCAAGGCATATCGGCCGACGCGCTCCGACGCGCCTGTAGCCAAATTCGCACGACGATCATTACGTCATTTCCCCGCTTTCTTTTTTTGTCTCTTGCTCTCAACTCCCACCTTCTCCTAGTACTGTACTATGGCTGGAATGCTCCCCGTACGCTCTACTCGCTCGCGTGGCCCATCTCCAAAACGCCCGTGCGTACATGGCACTTCTGTCTAGTCAAGGGGCTAACAAATTGAATCGATAATCTGGATTGGCTTTGAATCTACTGGGAATGCATTGAATGGATCTGGCTTGAATCTCTTGGAATCTCTTGATTGGAATTGGACGTATTGGGTGTCCTGCAGCGCCGGACTCTCTGGCTCAGCCTCATTCGACCCCTCAGGCGCCGTTGACCCCGACGACACCCACCCCGTTCTCCAGCAGGGCCGCGTCGCGGTCATCACAGGCGCAGCTTCAGGCATCGGCGCAGCTGCTGCTGTGCGTCCTTGTACTGCAAGTGAACCAACCCCTGTCTAACCACTCTACAGTGCGCCTTCGCCCGTCTTGGCATGAAAATTGCCCTCGCAAACCTGCCCTCGACCCTCCCAGCGCTCACCGCCCTCGCCGCCGAGCTAACCCCCCTTCTCGGGGACGACTCCTCAAACGTCCTCGTCGTGCCCACGGACGTGACCGTTCTGAGCGATGTGGAGAGGCTAAGAGAAAAGGTGTACGACGCGTTGAGCGAGGTCGGCGTGCTGATGAATAATGCGGGGATCGGCGGGCTTGGGGGCGTTAAAGGTTGGCGTCTGTCACTCTATCTCATTCGCCCCCAGGAACGTCGTGGGACGGCCTCGACGCTTGGCACGCGTCTTCAACGCAAATCTCTTCGGCGTTGTAAACGTGCAGCAAGTTTTCGTGCCCGTGCGTCGCGTTTCTTTCTTTGGTTTCATCTGCTTTTTATTTTTCTATTTCTCTCTTTCGAATTTCTGCCTCCATTCTTTAGGGGCTCCCAATTACCTGCGTGGCCCCAGATGGTATGAAATTGTAGTAGTATCACTATCTATGCATTCGACGTCGTTTTTAACGGATTTTACGGGTACCTGCGAGTCCGGAAAGAGCTTTCAATGTCTATGAATGCTGTTCTTCAAGTCCTGTAAGAAACTGTAGACGTATTATACTATTACTCCAGTACGGTTAAAGGGTGATTAATCCCGAGAGGAGGATTCATACATATTCAAGTTTTGAATTGAACGATATCCCAGAACCGATGAGGATTACATTCTGTCCGTGGCAATTGTAAGTATCGAAAATTAATATATAATGATGTGTGTCCAAAATGCCACACAGCGTCCGTGGGCTCCTCCACGTCATAAGTAGTAGTGTCCATCGACTTCCAAGAGTCCAGGTTGTTAAAGGTGCGGAATATATGTGGTCCAGCTCGCCTCCACAAAGGCACCGGGCGGAAGGGCGCGCAAAGTTGTGAAGGATAGGGTGATGAGGATGAGTCGTGCGAAGATGTAGGCTAAAATAGCAATACGAATGGCGACGGCTCGGAAGGTGGCAAGAACCTTTATCACGCCCGTCGAACCCAGGAAACGCTCCAATGCGGTCTGTTGTCTGTGCAAGCATAGGAGGACCAAAGGTAGTGAGGCAACCACTAGTGAACAAGACCGCCACATCTGCATTTCGTCTGCTGAGGGAAAATGTGTGTTCCAGGCCACCAAGTGGATAAAGCCGAAAACGGCCCCGATGAGAAATTCGATGATGACGGATATTCCCATCCAGAAATGGGGGGGCCTGCATTGACCATGTGTGGACCAGAACCAGGGAACTGAGTTAGATATGTTGGGGTCGAAAGTGGAAAACCATCCAAGAAATACAGTGTCCAGCGCTCGCGTCACACGACTCTTCGGTCCGGTAGGAGAAACTGACGCTGTCCGGGAAGCTGGCACAACCGCAGGTTTGGCCTCCGGCTCGGGATCTCGCACGAGTGCAGGCTTTGCTGCTGCGAGCGGCGCCGTCTGAGATTCTGGTACGACTGCATGCCCGGCTGCCGGCGGGGCCGCAGGATCAGGACTAGAGACTATGGTTGCGACGTGTATGACGGTCGGCTTAGCCGGAAGGGAAGACGTCGTCCCGATGAGCACCGGCTCGAGTAGAGGAGGAGCGCGCGCGACGACAGGTTTAGCCGCAGGCTTCGCTGACACGGCCGCGTGTGTGCCTGCTGGCTCGGCTGGCTCGACCTGTGCGCTGTTGCGGTGGGGGTCGTCCCTGTCCGCACGTGCGACAAAATCATCGGCGGGGAGAATATGCTGTTGCACAGGATCGGCTACGTCTCTCCGTTG